ATTGTCTAAATGTTGTAGGGTTAATGTAGGGGGATGTTTAGAAGACTTTGATTGAATCGCGTCCTCACACCCCATGACACAACTATTACTGTTTTTGGCCTCTCTATGACCTCCTGTAATAAATAATAGCCACAGCCTCATATAATCTGGCCTTTACAACACTTGATAGTAAACTTTAAAGAACCAACCACTGCACTGTGGGGGGGGGTCGAAATAACGAAAACATACACAGTAAAAATAATTGATTTTAGTAAAAAAAAATAAAAAATTAACAGGGCCATATAAAGCGCAGAAATCAGCCAATATTGATGTACATTGGATGATGTCTTGAGATCAATTAAACAGCAATAGTCATGGAGAAATATGGACAAAAATCGTTATCTGTTTTGGATTTAAAGTATTTGGAGATGAAGGCCTGCAGGCTAGAGCATGGGGGCTGGACATTATTAAAATTAGAGCACAAATAAAACAAAAATCCCCACGAATCGTTTTGAGACAAATTTAAATATACAACCGTCGAGTATTCACGGCCAGATCAGCTGCTGGTTGTTTGGCATCATGACAAAATTATATTTGCAATAATAAAAAATGCTCCACTTTTTCTCATATTTCTTCTACTGATTTGCGCTTCTTTCTTTTCAAAATTCTGATATTACATTTCAGGGTTGACCTCAAGAATCAAAGTTCACTTCATGTTCGCTAAGCAGAGGCTAGGTTTGGGACCTATGCTTACCCAGACTGGACTTTCTCCCAGACAGTCCTCCATGTCGTCCCTGCAGACTTATCACTCCGCTCTCGAAGGGTCCAGGCGTCCAGGAGGACGTCGCCATCTCCGGGCTCATGTACGCATAGGGGCTGGAATAGGAGCCTCCAACCGAGCGCACCAGAGCGCTTCCGTACTGATCCGCCCGTGCGCCGTTCCCGAGAACCAGTGGGCTCTGGTAGGTCGAATCCCGACCGGTGTTGCTGTTGACGGGCGGGCTGTGCGAGTAGGAGAAGCCGTGCGGAGGGTGAGGGCTGCTGGGCGTGAAAGAGGAGCCGTCATTGCCGGTCTGAGGCCAGCCATGGTGCCCGCCGATGCCGTGAGACTGGTGGGAAGAGTCGCAGGTCTGCAGGTAGGGCAGGGTGGGCAGCATGGCAGGGACTCTGGTGGTGGGGACGTAGACCGGAGAGCTGGCCGAGGGGTGGATGTAATTCCCGGTGTCATGCGAATAATGGGACTGGTTGGAGGACAAGGCCAGGCTTTGATACATTTTCAAAACTTTTCCGTCCTGTTTGGAGTATGGAAAATACAGGGAGGATTTCTTAGGCTGGTCTCAATCCTGTGGAGGTGATACTGTCCACGCGTAAAGGCACTTCCACCGTCTCCAAAAAGAAGTTCCTGTGCCTTTTTGAATGAAAATCGTGTGGAGATTCCGTCCTATGAATCAAATAATTACAGAGATAAGTCATGAACGTGAGAGCAGAAGAAAAAACTTTCATCATTCACGCTGGTAAAGTTCCAAGGCATCTAATTGTATCTGTCATATGAGCTAGTTTTATGGTTTTAAAATCCAAAAAACAATCGTCATTGTTGTCATTTACTAATAAGAAACTAATCTATTTGGCTAAAGCCACGCATGAAAATAGACCTGAAAAAAGTCCAACACTCATTCAGTATCATCAGTCATATTTCACCTGTATCATTCTGATTGACATGCAATGGATTAAAATCACATTACCAATCGCTGATATCTGCCCTAGAGGCAACTATCAGCGACCCCAGATATCCTGCTGCTCCGCAGTGCCTCATTAAATCATAACCATAACGGAAACCAAATCAAACAACACAACAGATAGCAAGCTCAGTTCCATATCTACAATGCAATGTATTTTCTCTATATCAACAGCAACTCAAATCACATAAAACGTTGATAATAGCACTTGCTGCGTACGGGAGGAACACAATTTCTTTCCAAGGGCTCTCAGTGTATTATCTCACCAGATAAGGACGGTCGGGTGATAAAGCAGTCCGGTCCTTTAGTCGTCCAAAACCTCAATAGAGGAACGCACCGGGCAAACCTTGTCACTCCACACAGATAGAGAAGGGAGAGGGAGCACCGCGGAGCGTCTCCAAATTGTTTTAACGCGTAAAAGTTGCGCGCAGTGATCGGAGATAAATTAAACCAAAGTTGTTTTTTTGGTCCAGGACGACTGCAGTATTTCTCTCCCTGCCGGTGTATCTGGAGATAGTAACTGTAGCTGATAATTGCTGATATGGGTGTGCTCCTATTCGCTCCTCAACTGGAAAATTTGTACGGGAGAAAAACACGTGACGCAGTCCACTGCTCCGAGGTAGGCCGAGGTGGGGAGAGAGGGAGGGCGGAAGAAAGGGAGGGAAGGAGGACCCCTGGGTGTCGGAGAGAGGAGGAGAGGGCCCACAGCTGAGGGCCGAGGGGTGTAAAAGTAGGCTAATAGCTTTAATTGCACCTGTAGTTACCTTTTGCTGGGTGTTAAATCTGTGTTTTATATTTAAGAAGGGCACCACATTGGAAAAACGTAAATCCAGGAACAAGAAGGAGAAATCCAAAAATCTTAAGGAGGCCCGTTTCTACAGGCTACTTGGTTTTTTAATACGTTTTGTGCAAGAAATTACTCTCATGTAGGGGATTTCATTGTGTGCAATGGTAGGCTATTTAGGGAGATTATGATTGTGCACGAATTCCTTTTCTGGTGGTTGTTTATCTTATGATGATAATCCATCTTTAAACTCACAACATCATTAAACAAGATTAGATATTATAGCCTCCTGGCCTCACCTGCTCTGCCTCTTACTTTAATATTGAATCGATTCCAAATTCAAACTGGGGGCCTAACCAATTTAATGCATAATAAGTGACTATAAAATAACGCACCTAACGCCTTCATTATATATTGATTTAACACGTGTTGCTGAGTGGAAAATAAAAACACATATTCAGCAAAATGTAGCTCCCTGCAAAGAGAGAGTTTTTATGGCGAGATAAATGTGACTGAGTTCTCTGTAAAAGCTCCGATAAGAAATACGACCAATAACTAACCGTGGTGTAAGAACAATAACTTCATGTTGTCCCGAGCTGCTCAAAGGAGACAGTGGAAATAATGTAGCAGCATGAAGATGTGAAAGGATAATGGACACTGACGCTAAAATATAATACAATAAAATATTATATTATAATTATATATATATATATATATTATGCCACAACCAATGTCATAATTCACAGTAAAAGACCAAAGCACAATTGTTTTTGCTGATAATCAGGGCCTATATAATATAGTCTATACCTGACGACTATACAGTGTATATAGTCGTCAGGTATAGATTATATTATATAGGTATTATAGATTATATAAATATGGTGGGTATTTTTCGCAGATTCCTTTATATATTTAAATTTAACTTGTTTTTGGACAACAAAAATCACACACATAAAGGATTTGGTATTTCTCCGCCACAGTGAGGCTCTGAAAAACAATCTAGACCTTCAGGTGAAGAAATAAAATTTACGGAAAATATAGGGTCATAAATAAATAAATAAAATGAAAAATCTGAATAATTAACACATTTTTCAGACTTGAGAAAAAGGTTTTTAATATTTTGAAATATGAAAATCTATCGTATTTGTTCTTAACATTCGTAAGAAAAGTTAAAGACGGTCATCAGATCAGAAATACAGTTTACATTTTCATCTTACATTTTAAGGCCTTTAACGTAAGTAAACACTTTTATAGACCTTTATAGCACAGCCCGACGAAGCTTATTTTCGATTAAGAAAAATCAACAATAAAAGTGAAGGTGACATCATGAAAACAAGAAATTATGCTCCTTAAAAATGATCTTTCGTTGATTGCATAATATTCAGAGCATTGGGCCTGCTATAAATATCATTACCTACATATTTCTCCGTGCAGCCTGGCTTTCCTGTGATTTAGTTTTTATTCAGAACCGCTTGTAGATGAGTCACAGGCCTTTCAAAGACTAATAACATTAAGGACTGACACTGTAAATGTCTTTTGTCTCGAGCCCATTAATTAATCCTTCCGTTAGTGTTCCACATCCGTCCATCTCCGTCAAGGATGAATGGAGTCTGCCTGTCTGCTTCCCTTCATCGTCTAAATGCCGAGCACTTGATGCCGATTTGTGAAACGGCTTCGCACCACACATCTAGTGCTGCCTGCAGATATTTAGGCTACATTCATATTTGTAGCATTTGAAATAGCGTGCGTTTATTTCACCGCTGACAATCATTAAGTGGCCTGTGCAATAATGCAGACCTTGTTAGTTTATATTAAAATGTGACACAGAAGATTTAAGATTTTATTCAAAAATTATTAGAGATAAATTTCTGTTTCTACAATTATTATTTTTTTGCCTCTTTGCAAGTGAACATTCAGATTAACTTTGGCTTTACATGATCATAGTTTTTTTGAGATAGGCCTACACTATATTGCCAAAAGTTTTGGGACATCTGCCTTTATGTGCGCATGAAGGTTAATGACATCCCATTTTTATCTGTAGAGTTTAATATGGAGTTGGCCCAGCCACTGCAGCTATAACAGCTTCAACTCTTCTGGGAAGGCTGTCTACAAGGTTTAGGAGTGTGTTCATGGGAATTTTTGACCACATGCAACCAGGGGGAGCCGGGGATTGAGCCGCCAACCTTCCTATTAGCGGCCAACCCGCTCTATTTCCTCTGCTCTAATCATCCCAAGGTGTTTTATTGGGTTGAGGTCAGGACTCTGTGCCGGCCAGTCAAGTTCTCCACACCAGATTCGCTCATCCATGTCTTTATAGACCTTGCTTTGTGCACTGGTGCGCAGACATGTTGGAACAGGAAGGGGCCATCCCCAAACTGTTTCCAGTTGGGAGCATGAAATTACAAAATGTCTTGGTGTGCTGAAGCATTAACAGTTCCTTTCACTGGAACTAAGGGACCAAGCCCAACCCCTGAAAACAACCCCACACCATAATCCCCCCCTCCACCAAACTTTACACTTGGCACAGTGCAGTCAGGCAAGTACCGTTCTCCTGGCAACCGCCAAACCCTGACTTGTCCATCAGATTGCCAGACAGAGAAGCGTGATTCGTCACTCCAGAGAACACATCTCCACGTCTCTAGTGTCCAGTGGAGGCGTGCTTTACACCACTGCATCTGACGCTTTGCATTGCACTTGGTGATGTCAGGCTTGGATGCAGCTGCTCGGCCATGGAAACCCATTCCATGAAGCTCTATATGCACTGTTCTTGAGCTAATCCGAAGGCCACATGACGTTTAGAGGTCTGTAGCTGTTGACTCCGCAGAAAGTTGGTGACTTCTACACACTGTGCTCCTCAGCATGCGCTGGCCCCTCTCTGTGTTTTTATGTGGCCTGCCACTTTGTGGCTGAGTTTCTGCTGTTCCCAATCGCTTCCACTGATTTTAGACACCTGTAGCCATGGAAGTAATTGGAACACCTGAATTCAATGATTCGGAGGGGTGTTCTGAAACGTTTGGCAATATGTACGTATGGGTCGACAGAGTTACACCCGCTGCAGCAGCCAAGCCTCCAAAGCTTCCAAAAACACATACAGTTATTACTGCACAGGTAATTCCTGTGTTGACATCAATTTAGCCTCCTTATCTTGGGTCTCAATTCTAGTCACAATTGGAATTTCATCACCCTCATATTTATAAACTCTGACTCAAAAAAGGTTTAGATATTATCTCCATATGTGTTAGTGAATTAAGTGCAATAATGACAACTACCATCTAAAGTATAACAATTTATTTATATCATTTACATTAGAATTTTCCAAATTATAATGTAAGTTTTTTAATCTTACTGTAATGTTCTGATGAAATCATTAAAAATTCATAAATCATGGGCAAGGTGATGCTGAGTCACATAATTGGGCAGCAGCAGCCGCAGCAGGCAGCAGGATAGTCCACAGCACTGACTTTGAAATCTCTCCCGTACACAAAGAACACATACGACTCTCCCTTCCATTGGTAGGTTACCTTGGTAATAGGAAGCAGCTCAATGGTTTGACGCTAGAGAGAAAGAGAGTAAAGAGGGAAGTTTGTCAACAAGATGAACACATTCCATATAGGAATACAGACTGTGTGAAAACCTCTGAAAATACCTGCTGCAAAATGCGTGAATATTTCAAATACTTGTCTTGGTGCTCTCTCAGTAGCCTTTCTGAGACTTGTACCACAGTTGGGTCAGGGAAGTTTGTGACTGGATAAACCTGCATCATAAAAGAAAGTCAGCATCTCTTTATCTGATTATTTTTTGTTGTTGGATAATTCTTTTTCTCTTTCTGCTGATTGCTTTTACCATGTAGTTAGAGTCTGTGAACAACTCCCTTCCAGGCACATTGTCCAGTTTGGACATCTTTAAACCACTGGATTGTTCAACAGTGTGTTCTTCAACATCGTTATGCCTGCAGAGGTATGAAGTATAACAAGGCAAGTTTATTTGTATTGCAGCTTTCCAAAAAAAGGCAGTTCAAATTACTTTTAATGTGAGACGTTGGTACCATACATTTCCACACAATCATGTGAAACAAACACACATAATTAAACAAATGAATGCCTTTAACTGCCAGTACTGACCAATAAAGGGAAACATAAAGACATGTTTTAAAACACAAAGCCAGAAAAACTACACTGACCAGTTCACAACAAGGTTGAGGGCGGCTATGACCATTTTCTGGCCTGAGCAGACATCACATGTGGTCTCACCTGTGCCACCGCATAGGTAACAACTGTTAGGAAAAATTATTAGGTATATGTAATTGTATTGGAAGATGTTTAGCATTGTGTATTAATTTTTTATTTTTTTTAAAGATAAGAAATCCTACATTGTCCTCCCACTTCCACCACAGACGATGCAAAACTGCCTGTTTTGACCATAATAGACAGTACCAAGCCCACCACACCCACTGCATATTCTCTGAAAGACAAATAACAAGTAATGATGAACCTCATCTCCGGTATGTGAACGCCTTCTGTCAAAGCCTGTGATGGTTACTCACCCTTCCAAGCCCGCCACAGGAACCGCAGGTTGTGTATCCACTAGCAGAACAGTGAAGCATCTCTGTTGATCAAATGAAATTCTGTTAAAAGCATCGAAATGTTGATATTGAAACAGAATAACTGAATCCAATGAGTGAAGGTGACGCAGCCTGTGGTCTAGTTATGAAAACTCTGTTTGCATTCAGCTAAAACAAATAAAATGTATATACCGTCTTGCTGAATGAGAAGATTAATATAACTCTACGGTATGCATAGTTAAGCTAGCAGGCTGTTAGCTTAGCTTAGCATAAAGACTGGAAGCAGGGGGAAACAGCAAACCTGGCTGTCAACAAAGGTAACAAAACCTGCAAATCATCACCTGTAATGCTTAACATGTTGTATTCTGTTTGTTTAAGTGTAGGAGTGTGAAAACAATAGGTTTATAGGGTGGTTATGCTGCACTGTTTCTTTGTCGGGAGCACTAAGGCCCCATCTACACTACTCCATTTTTGTTTTAAAACAGAGAATTAAAACGATCTCTGTCCACACCAGCATCTTAGCCGCGTATCAGAGTTGATCTCCGTCTACGACTGAAAAAGCACATCTAGTGGCCGTTCACGTACACTGGGAATGCGCGTGCCGGTGTAAACATGAAGCAGATGGTCCATTCCGTAGTTACAGAAGGCGAAAAAATAAAGTACTACAGACAAAGAACCACACCATATTTTTTTTGCATGGACCAATAACAAGCTGGGACCGTTACTGAATGTAACACAGGAGTGTGGCGGCCGAAAACCGACTGAGAGTCGTCACAAAGTAAATACGGCGACATGCACAGTACAAGTGTAGGCTATAAGTGTTATTTGCACAGTACAAAATATTTTAAGAAAAATACCCCGTCAAAAACAGTCAGTAGCATCGTGTTTCTACTTTGCATGACTTATAAGACCCAATCAGAGAGGCAAAAGTGAACTCTGCGTCATCGTTTCTAAAGTCCTCCATCTTCACTAAAATGCTACCCCGGAGATTGAAAACAAAAAACAGGGTCGGCAGCGTTTTCAAACTTCTCCGTTTTAGGTCTTTGTTTTCGTACAAAGGTAGCAAAAGGTCTCCGTTTGAAAACGAAAACGCAGTAGTGTGGATGGGGCCTAACTTCCTGAAATCTCAGGAAGCCTGTAAAACAGCAACTTACCATTTTTAAAGTTTGGTTTATGTCTGTTCATGTATTCTCCTTTTTTTGGCATTGATATTCTCATCTAACTCTCAGCAAAAAAGTAATAAGCATATTTCCCAAGATGTTGAACTCTTGCTTTGGTATAATATATGCTAGTTCACTTCCCTGCTTATACCGCAAGCCGAAAAGTATTATATTTGTTCGTGAGCTTGCTAGTTAACACATTAAATGTCATCGCCCACTTATGTATTATGTACAGTGTGTTCTATTGTGTTATGTTTGTGTAGTTATTCCCTCCTGAAAGTTCAGAAAGACCACTGAAGCATTTGTAGATCAAACTACCATCACAGATGCTGTGTGTGGAATCTCAACGATGTGACTGTCATCCTGAAAAAATGGGGGAACATTAACTGGAATCTCCCACGGCCCGGGCGGGGTTTGTCCACTGTTGTCTATTTTCTCACCTGACATAAACACACCATATTGTTAGAGTTAATGTGTGAAGATAGAGAAAATGTGTTGTCTCAGATGCATGTTTGCAAACAGAGCTTTACCATAGTGCGGCCTTTCACTCCTCTCTGTAGTTCGTGTCTCAGTAAACGTCACCAGGCGATACTAACGAGGGCAGAGCATGAATAGAGCAGAGTGAAAACACAAATTATAAGAAGAAAGAAGGGCCATTTGCCCCATATGTTACACCTTAATCTTCAAAAAAATCACACTTAGATTCTGCCAGTTCATCTCTATTAAGCTTCAGTATATTAAGGAATTTCTTGCACAATTACACTTAAAAATATAAACACTTGCTGTCCTGTGTAAAAAAGATGATCACATATAATAGCCTACATGTATTTGCTTTGTCTGAGGGGGATAAGACTGCTTTGTAAGACTGGGAGATCCTCTGAGTGACAAAATCATAAATATAACATGCAGTTCCATGTCGGTAGTGTGTAGCTATGTTTTAAATATTCTAAATGATTATGGAGTCTTCGTCTCCATTTCTGCCGTGAAGTGTCGGTGTCTGTCTTACCCTGTATGTATCGAAGGACTCCATATTGGTGATCACTCCCTGCTCTGCTGGCTTCGTGCTGTAGCAGCGTTTATTTGATGCATACTGGATGAAGGCTTGTTGAGCATCATCCTTGCTGAGAGATGGGAAGCTGTGAAACAACAGACAATTCTGAAGGGGTGGGCTTTGAAAGCAGTGGGCATTTAGAAGGCAGGGATGATCTCATGAAAGACAATGCTGATTTCATTATGGGAACTGTAGGATGTTAAAGTACCCCCAAATTAAAAAACATTAAATATCCTGAGGGATTTTATTTGTCACTACTAGTACTCTTAAATTTAATTATGTAAGAAAATCCTGCTTTTGTTTAATTATAAACACCATGGGAGTCTGTTTAAATTTGCAAAATTTGTTTATATTGCTAGTGAATGTGTTCTTGTATCTGTTTTTAAGTTATTACCAAACTTCAATAAACTTTATTTGGATTCAATGAAGAGAACAAGAACAAGAACATATAATCACATAAAAATGTGAAAGGCACTATACATATTCATAACCAATTATTTTAGAACTGATGTAATGGGTATGGTGTGCAAAATAAATGTGAAGCCTTACTCCCAGTTTTGAAATGATGGTGGAGGTACAGGTTGAGGTTGTTGGTCGAACAACATAGGAGGGGGAAGGAATCCACCTGCAAAAGGTTTAGCGATGCTTTACATGAAGTCACTAAATGTCATACAACAAGGGATCATTCATGGCTGTGCAGTGGAATCACAATGACCATGTTTTAACAATACAAATATCATTCTCAGCAGCTGTGTGTGCAGCCTGTTCTTATGATTCAAGCCGTTTACTGTACCTCCACCCTCTATTAGCATCTTCTCATAGCCAGGTACACTGTTGTATCATGGAAATGAAACAGCAATTAGTGTGTATAGAAAATCACATGTTTATTTAGATTTAGATCATTTGATCTCAAAGATTTAAAACCATAAATAATAAATTAATAGATTAAAATGTAAAAGAATCTAAGTAATAGTTACATACATATTTTTAGTACTTTCATCATTTGTATTCTCAGAAATCAGACTTTAGTGGATTTAGTATTAAAGTCCAAATTCCAAAAGGTGAGTTCATATTTCATGATGACATTTTTCCTAATGACTCCTGTATTTCATGTCACCATGTCACTGCTCCCTCATCTTTCAGCTAATCACATATCCCTAGCCTCTCTGGGCAACCTCACCAATTGCATCTTGTTGGCCAGAGTGACCACAGAGAAGTACTAGTTTTCTTCTTTATCTTCACAGAGGTGAGTGTTTGTCTTTGAAAAAGATTTAAAAGAATTAAAACAATACTAACGTTGAATTTACAATCTAACTGTGGCTTCAGTTTGACTTAAGAGCCCAAGTCAATCTAGCTAGTTACAGCTAGGTATAAGTAGCACATGTAGCCTTATTAAGCTAAATGAAACCAGATGTTTTTACTGTGTCTGTACTGTGCAGCTAGCAGCTAGTTGATTTATTCAGAATTACTTAGACATTATTGTTGCTTTAGCTACAGTAACCTGAGCTAACTGGCTAAATTTAGTGGCAGCTGTTGAGCAGCGCTTACAGATGCTGGGGGCATGTGATTGGCTGAAAGGTGGGGAGGCGGTATCTCAGCCTGTTCTCATTCCCAAGTTATCAAATCCCTAGATTTGTCATTCTACTAGCATCTCATACAGAAGCACGAGGTAGCCATTAGCATCTTTTTGAGATGCACCGGGCTGCCGGAAAGCCTTTTAGAAGTCAGGTGACATATAAAGTACCATAACATACAAAGTGTCTTATGTCACATGAATTATTACGAAAACACAAAAGTTACCCAAACCATGACCTCTTCCTATACGTAACAATGTAGTTTTGGTGCCTTATCCAAATCCCACTGGGTTATTTCACTATGTTAACTATGAGTTAAAAAGTTGTCCTTCTGAATGAGATGTTAACGGGTGCGAGAAAGCGCCAGTATTTGACGGCCTGGTTCAGTGGCTGGTAACTGGTAACTCTACTGTCATGAAAAGTGACATTATCAAAATCTCACGGTGTAATAATGAGAGATGATTTTGAAACGGGTATTTTGAAATAAAAAAGAATGATATTAAAAATACTGTAAGAATAATGTCATAAATAATTGAACAGTTTACGGGTTTATATATTTTAGCAGCATAACACTTGAGAGGCTTTACACATATTCATAATCTATCTATTGTACTCTGGTGTGCAAAATAAATGTGAAGCCTTACTCCCAGTTTGGACATGATGGTTGAGTTTCAGGTTGAGGTTGTTGGTCGGACAACGTAGGAGGGGGAAGGAATCCACCTGCAAAAGGTTTAGCGATGCTTTACATGAAGTCACTAAATGTCATACAACAAGGGATCATTCATGGCTGTGCATTGGAATCACAATGACCATGTTTTAACAATACAAATATCAGTCTCAGCAGCTGTGTGTGCAGCCTGTTCTTATGATTCAAGCCGTTTACTGTACCTCCACCCTCTGTGATCATCTTCTCATAGCCAGGTACACTGTTGTGTCATGAAAATGAAACAGCAATTAGTGTGTGTAGAATGTAAAATCACATGTTTATTTAGATTTAGATTAGTTGATCTCAAAGCTTTGGAACCTTAGAGAGTAAATGAATCATTCAATTTTGAAATAATTTAAGTAATTGTTAAACCTTTACTGAGTTTTATCAAAAGTACTTTCATCATTTTATTATCATAATCAGACTTGGATTTAATATTAATCTCATCCCAGACATTTTCAATCCAAAGTGAACAAATTCCAAAAAGTCTATTTTTATTTCATAATGACATTTTCCCAAGGACTCTTTTATTTCCTGTCACTTTTTATTTAATGTTATCGCTTCCTCACCTTTCAGCCAGTCCCATATCCCTGGCCTCTCTTAGCAATCTCCCCAATTGCATCCTGTTGGCTAGATGACCACAGAGATATAATATTTGTCTTCACATACAGCTGAGTGTTTATGTTTGAAAACAATTTAAAAGAATTAAAACATTGTTGCGGTAACTAAATTAAGCAGCTGCTGCTGTTAACGCTAGATCTTTAGTTTGAATGCAAGCTCACACGTCAATCTTAGTTAGGCCTACCAGCTAAGTAAGTAGCATGTGTAGCCTTGTTTAGCTAAATGAAAGCAGATGTTTGTTACTGTGTGTGTATTGTACAGCTAGCAGCTAGTTGTTTGATTCAGAATTACTTGGACATTGTTGTTGCTCTAGCTACAGTAACCTGAGCTGACTGGCAAAATATGGTAGCAGAGCCGTGCTAACAGATGCTGGGGGCATGTGATTGGCTGAAAGATGAGGAGGCGGTAGCTCAGCTCGTTCTTTTTCCCAAGTTGTGAAATACTGATGTTTGTCATGTCCCTTGGGGTTTCATACAAATGCACGAGCCCATTCTCATCTCAACGCTTTCAAGTGACAAAACATAGTTATTTGACGCTAAAGGTACCCTTTAGCTTTGTGCTTTGTTATCCTACCGCAGTCACGCATGACTCTGTTCAGAACAGAATAATGGAGCTGCATGGTAGTCAGTCTTTCAAATACTGCTTGCAGCTAATATTTACAAATGAAAACTTTCACCGTGCAGCCAGCCTGGTCTCATAACATATTCATAACCTGATTATTTTAGAACTGATGTAATGGGTATGGTGTGCAAAATAAATGTGAAGCCTTACTCCCAGTTTGGACATGATGGTTGAGTTTCAGGTTGAGGTTGTTGGTCGGACAACGTAGGAGGGGGAAGGAATCCACCTGCAAAAGGTTTAGCGATGCTTTACATGAAGTCACTAAATATCATACAACAAGGGATCATTCATGGCTGTGCAGTGGAATCACAATGACAATGTTTTAACAATACAAATATCATTCTCAGCAGCTGCTTGGGCAGCCTGTTCTTATGATTGATGCCGTTTACTGTACCTCCACCCTCTGTTGGCATCGTCTCATAGCCAGGTACACTGTTGTGTCATGAAAATAAAACAGCAATTAGTGTGTAGAAAACCATATTAGTAAGTTTATTTAGATTTAGATCAGTTGATCTTAGACCTGTGGAACCTTAAAGAATAAATGAATCATTGAAATGAATTTAAAAAAAAATAAAAATTTGTCATTGTCTTGAAAAATGAGATTATGAAATGAATGTGTCATAAGAAGAGATGCTTTTGAAACAGGTATTTTTAAAAGAGAATGATAATAAAAATACTCTAAGGATCATGTCTTATTTCACAATTTACTGGTTTTCTTGTATATTTTGCACAATTTATAAGGTTCCATACAACATACCTAAAAAGTATTTATGGTAAGGTGACAAATCAAAAACAAAGACATTTCTCAAACCTATCAGTTACATTTATAGCGTAGAATCTAAATATTATTTTATACTAAATTAATTATAAAGTATGTTTAAGGGTAGTAAAAAGTAAATGTGCAGGAGTTAGTGTGAGATGCCATAAAAGAAAAACATCAATAATCTAAATAGGACAACAGTGTACCCAAAAACTCACTGAAACCAAAGAATCAAGTGACCACAAATATGATAACTGAGTCATTACAACCTTTGTTATCACTAATAAGTTTACTACAACCACAACTACATGTAAAACACTCACCTGTCTTGTGATGGAGAATCCATTATCACCCAGAAAAATCAAATAAAAGCACACAAAGACACAATCGTCAGTTTCTTTATAGCCATTTGAAAAAAATGGAAATAACAGAAATCCACAGTTCTCTTTTTAAACTTCCTCTTCTTCTTCCCTCTCTCATTGCATACTGTGGCTGATGTTGACACTGTTTAAAAGAAACATCACTTGAAATAACGTACATTAGTTTCTGCCTAGCATTGAAAAGAGTGGGAATAATATTAAGTAACAGAGCAGAGTAGAGTTGTGTAGTGTAGAAATGCTGAAATTCTTTGATTGCCCAAGTTGCATGCAATCCATCGAATCTATCTGCCACAGTTAATTAATGTCATGTCAGCCATGTTAGTTAGCTTATTTATCATGTATCACATGTACATTTCATATAAAACAGTAACACATTATTTTAACCCCCTTAAGTAATTACAGCACTCTGCGTGACAACTAGACAATCCGTCTCCCCGATGAATGTCATTAGATGTGCCTGAAATCTTTGGAAGAAAGTTAGTCAGTGAACCTTAAATTAATCAAATCACATCACAATAAATTTCACTGTATTGTCTAAAAGAGTTTGATCAGTGGTGCAAAAAGGTACACAAGAGCAGCAAAACACAAATATAACACAAACGAAAATACACAAAGTAAACAAACAGGGAGAAACCATAAGGGGAACAATACCAGAAGAAGCTGTCGCCTTCTAGGCGTCTTTGTCATGTACATATGTTATCCTTACATGCAGTAACTGCAAACTACCCACCCTCCCTGATGTTCAGTTGTTCTTTTTGTCAAACTGCTATTTTCGATGTCAAAAGTGACGCTTAAGCTCAACATGTCCCAGATATAATGAAAAATTTTGACATTACAAAATATTCTAATGAATCATACCAGTAATAATCAAACGAGTATTCACTCATACGGCCTCATCCTCAATCATAATACCCAACCATAAACTCTGTGTGCACCACATGCTGTAACCTTAATCTTTCACCCTTGAGAAAAAGCCAACGAGATGGTTTAGCACATGGAGTAATTCTCGTCTCTCAGTACAGGATCAGATAGCGACCTTATGAATGAGGTGACTGGTGAGGGCCACTCCGCCACAGCCTAATTTACACAGTCTATCACGGCACTCAACACGGCTGTGTGTCGGAGGGCCCGTGGCGCTATTACAGCTCCCCCCGGTCAGTCTTTGGTTATGTCAATAAAAACTGGGATCCGCAAATATGGCGCATTCCCACTGCAGGCCGCATATCTGTGTTTATGTCAGTTTTTGGTAATGTTTCTGTGGACTGACTGATAGGCCTATCCACCAGGGAAGCATTTTCTCTGGATAGAAATGCCTTTAAACTTTGATCACTCTCTAATGTGTCACTGTCCTTTACGGCAGCGTTCTTTGGACTGGAATGGAATTTCAGCCTCTATCTTCATTTCACATACACATGCCTGCAAGATAAGTTTGGAATTTTCTAAAGGTATTTATTGACTATGAGAGAACAGGCTAAAGTTGTGTGTGTGTGTGTGTGTGTGTGTGTGTATGCTCTCTGTCTCGTTTTAGAGGCATTTTCTCTTATTTCTTGTCAGTGGTGCAAATTGATGCTATGATCACTCCAGATAAAATCTTCCCAGTCTTCATTCATCACTGAGAAAATGTTATCAACTCTAAACAACCCCTAAAATCATAATGAGCAGTTAGCAAAGACATGTTGAAATATCTCCTATAGGACTGGTAATGGTGCAGAGGAAGGTTAACAGAGGAGCCGACACTCAGAGAGGAGTGATGCGCAGATACCAGCTATTGTTACAGCTGATTTCAGCTCAGCGGGAGGCAGATTTGAGTTGCATTTTTCCTCTTTGCTCGATGGCAGATGTCTGCGTTCCAATATGTAGGGAGTGCGTTCAAATCTCATCTCTCCACATTGGCTGGATGTAAGTGATGTGTGGAGATTGTCTTTGGTCTGGAGAGACAGCAGAATGTGATGTATGGTTACAATCAGTCGCTGTGTGCAGATCTGGAGACAAGATGTGCAGTCTGGCCACAGGAACCAGAGCATTGTTTTAGTGTGGGAAATAATGACACCTTATGACACACACACAGAAATGTTTGCGTGTCATTGGATATAAAACCCCCAAGAAAGAGGTATTTCTGTAGAGCAGTCTCACTGTGTGAGTGTGTGTTTTTCATTAATTAAATAAAATACAAAGACCCCTTTTTGTAGTTTAAAGAAAACCAGCTGTGTGTCTTTGATACATGTTTAAAAAGGTCATTGTTTCTTCTCATGACAATACAAACATTTAGAAATGGGTGTGTGTGTGAGGGTCAAAAAGACCTTCTGTTGCCGCGGGACAACAATATGCATTAGAGAGCTGTTGACAGAATTCCAACGAAGAAAACAAACAGCGTTAGTCACAATACAGGGAAATTTTTTGCGAAATTCCTCAACCAGTCAATATTTTAACATCGGCATTGCTCCTATGATGAATGCCCCTTTTAAGCATGTTCTTGTCAAATAGCTGATAACTCAGACTGGAGCTAAATTGTTCCGTAATTCTGTTTTCCCATGATGGATGTCTTCTTTTCAAGTTAATCATCGTTTTCTGCCACAAGCCTTTCCAAGACCTCCGGCAGACTGCTGTGGGCCGTGCAGGGTGGGCAGGAGGCTGGCCTCTTCCCCTTACATCGCATCTCTGGCCTATGCTGTGGTCAGATCATCCCAAAAATGTGAACTTTCTCCTCTTCTCTAACAACTCACCCTCAGTAGACTTCTCCCAGAAATATGCCAGAGTACACAGGCAGCAGATAGAGGGGAAGAAAGGATTTAGAGGTTTGGAACACACCCCTGGTGCTCTGCTTGCCGGGGAATGTGAAGTAGGAGTCAGGCTAATCTCCAGCACCCATGAGAGACTGGCTCCTGTCTGCCTGGCTGCCACTTCCCTATCTGTGTGTTTCATTTCATCCTGTCAGGCCCTATCTGGGCTTCCAGTGATGCTGCTACTGCTGGGTTCAGACCCAGGGACAGCAACACCACTAGCCACTATATACTCACGTGGGACTGGGAATACTTGTCTTTCAGAGGAACAGTATCGTGTTATCATTTTATTATCTTTCATCAGTGATTCTGAGCCAATGTATAAACAAAGACTATTAGTTCTTGTGTTACATGTGTTAGTTTGGTGTAATGCATAAAAGGGAACACAGTCTATTGCTTTAAACATCAGTTTGATTGATTTAGATGGATTTATTTTCTATATCCTTATGTATATGTATATCTGAATAAAACTAAGAGTCTATAGCCTAAAAGCTGAAAAACTAAGCCGCACCAGCAGCTCTGTGAGGCCCATATATTAAAAACAAGAACAAATGTTAAGATCTTCTTCAGACATGTTTAAGACATATAAAAATACTGTCTGGAATAATAATTTGTTTCTGTGATTTAAGGTGAGCACAGAGAAAACTTTCCCCTTCAGCAGATGAATGTGAAAATAGCCTTAGTGTCAAACTCTGCACACACAGAGCACATTTGAATGCATCCGGCTGAAACATTAGTTTAGATGTGACCTATAAATTCATTATTCATTATTCATTATTATACCCTATGAATTATTATAATTTCCAAAGTGTAGTCACACAAATAATTTGCCAATAACGGCAAATGTTTTGCCGACATTAGAAATTATTTAGGTCATGTGATTCTACTATTGAATAAGTCTTCAAAGATACAACATTTTTACCGTAAAACACAGTACTTGGTAATAATAGTTAAATGCTTCCAGTAAATACGTGATTTTTTATATATATATTTTTACAGTTCATTCGGTTCAGTGTTTCTCTTTAGCTTGTTTTTGTTTGTTTGTAACATTTGTTAACATGAAAACTAGCACTAAACACCAAGTATATTAACGGTATTTTGGTCATAAACCAAAGAATTGGACAAATTAATTGGACAATGCTAAATGAAAAGTCAGACGTTCACCGAAGTTCACCAAAGTTCACAACTCCCATAGATGATAAATAAATAAATGTCTGTGCAAAAATCTATGCCAATTTGTGTGCAGTAATTCTTTCTGACCCTCAACCAGAAAGAATACTCATTTAGCTGGTTAAAATTGAAAAAAGATGGCTCAGAGATTGTCGAACATTTAACATATTTTTATTTATATTTTATTTTAACATCCATTTTTGTAACAATAAACAAATTTAACAAAAATATGTTTTAGAAAAATAGAAAAAATAGAAAAGGAACAGAAACAAAAGGTCTAGAAAGACAATGTTTTTGAGGGAAGGTGGAATTCCTTTCACATGAATTTAGGAGCATTCACCACTAGGTAGTTCATGTAAAACACTTCATTTTGATGAGCTGTATCTTACGGTAACATAATGGTCTGTGTGTACAGTTTAACTATCCAATAAACTATTAAATATTCAACACTGAGATTACTTATTTGAGCAATCAGTTCTCTTCTAAAAATAACATTTGTATAAACTGAACTTGACGGAAACATAAAGCTGACCACACATTTTTATAATGAGGAAAATGATTAATTAACATCTGACAAGTCACAAAAATACTGATGTATCAGTAATGGTTCACTGACAATGTATTTCATTTATTTCATGCCAAAACATTCTATTGCACAACATAATATCAGCTTGAAGTGACTACAGTGTTTTAAACTTTTTAATGGCTATTTTATTTTGGTTATAGTTATGGAAAGACTGCGATCTTTGGTTTAACACAGAAAGAGTCCACCATGAATTGATACACAACATGATTATCAACATCCTCTCTAACCTAAACCAACGCGCTTCTGCTGCCTAAGCCACAGACTGCGGCTCTTGATGCGAACCTTAGACTCAAAGTTCTGTGCTTTGTATACCCAGTCTGACCACCTCCCTGTGTGGTTCATCATTCACTCATAGACATATTGCTTGTGAACATAATCCTGGCAGAAACTGCGTTTGTCACCACAAAACCTGATTGGGAAACAATTACTATAGGAGACAGGGACAGTGTACAGGTAAATTCTACATTCTACAAGTAGTTATGTTTAACCCAGTAGGACACAGAAAGGTACAAAGCAAGATAACTTTTTTCAAAGAAGAGTAGAGGGAAACTACTGCATCACTTTGGTGTAGACTAAACTAACTTAACAA